CAGCCACCAACTAACTAACTCTCTTCCAGCCCTGCCCCCCAGCCAGGGCAGCATTCCACCTTCCTTTGTTCCTCTCCATGGGGGGTGTCTGGTTCAACAAGTTTGGCATTACCTTTGCATAGTGAGGTTTTCCCTGCTGGGTCTTGCTCCAGACAGCAGGGGTCACCACAGCCCAGCAAGTACCCCCACTACGTCACACTCCTCTGGGTGCAGATTCAGGAATCTCCCCAACGTCCTCAGCCGTGAAGACTGAAGCAAAGAAATCATTTAGTTTCTCCGCAATGGCTTTATCGTCCTTGATTGCTCCTTTTACAGCTCGATCATCTAGGGGACCCACAGGTTTTTTAGCAGGCTTCCTGCTTCTAATGTACTTAAAAACATTTTGTTATTTCTTTTTGAGTTTTTGGCTAGTTGTTCCTCAAAATCTTTTTTTGCTTTTCTTATTACATTTTTACACTTGATTTGACAGAGTTTATGTTCTCTTCTATTTATCTCACTAGGATTGGACTTCCACTTCTTAAAAGATATCTTTTTGTCCCTCATGGTTCTTTTACATGGTGGTTAAGCCACGGTGACTTTTTTAGCAACTAAGCATAAGAAACATTCACAAACATGGACGTGTATCTCTTTTTCTGATGGGCACTTGTCTATTACTGTACACGTCTGAAGTAAACTATGCTATTCAAACTGAATTTTTTTCCCATATTTTCATTGTTCAGCATGTTGGTGGGGTCAACATCTGGACAGGAGCTCTCCTCACTCATATTTCTGATGACAGCTTATATTGTACCAAAAGTGAGGAGTGGGAAGGGGTTGGCCTGTGTTCTTCCTAAAGGAGAGACTTGGATACTATTCCATCCTGACATTGCTGATCTTCTCCTTGTGGGCCCTTTGCCCCACTTTACTCCCAGTCCTTCACTCACTTTGTAAAATATAAAATATTGTAAAATATTCCTGCAGCAAATTAGAAGGCATTTTGTTTATTGCCCTCTTGCAAGGCTAAAAGTATCACCTTCATCTCGCATCCTGAAGTTAATCTTGAAGCTAAATAAATTAGTGTCAATTCAACACTCACCAGCCAAACAATAAGGCATTTTGACTCCAGATTAGAACTTTTCCCTCTGATTTCTTGTTGAAGTATGAATATATACATACAAGTTCTAAGCCTTTAAAACTTAGGCTATGTCTAGACCATGGGTTTTTTCTGGGATACCAGAGATATCCTAGAAAGACCCTGCCGCATCCAGGGAGCATGTTTGCTCTTTCGCTTTTTTCATGGAAGAGCAAATGCGCTCTTTTGGGGAGCCCTGTATACCTCATCCCACAAGGGATAAGGGCTCTGCAGAAAGAGGAGACATTTCCACCATTTGGCCCCATCTAGATAGGGCCAAATAACAGAAAAGTGACTGGAAAAAGCTATGCAAACTGCGCTCCGCAATTTGCATAGCTTTTTCCGATAAAGCCCTGTAGTCTAGACCTAGACTTAATAATTAATATAATATTTGGAATAAAAAGGACAGGCTGGAAAAGTGCAAAAAAGAGTGGGAAATCTTTATGGTTAAGTAAAATTAAGATCATGAAACAAAGCAATAAAAGGCAGGAAATTTGAAGATAAGATTGCCATTCTCTACATAAAGAATTGTTAATATTATAGAGAAAACTTAAAATTAATTTATATAGAGAATATTTTCTAATTTAAAAGTGACCAACACTTTTATCAATTTATAACTGTGATGGATGGAAGGGGTATTGCCTGTAAAGGGTTAAATTCAGAGAAACCCTGAAAAAAATCCAGGAACTGTTGGCAGGTATCCAGGAG